GCTGTGTGTCCTCGGGCAAGTCGCCTTGCCTCTCCGGCCCCCAGAGGGCCTGTGTGTGCGAGGAGGGGTGGTGTCTGAGCGCCAGTGAGCGTAGCCCGGGCTGCTGGCTGATGCGATTCCCCAGAGGGGTACGTGGCAGGGGCCCGGGTCAAGAGAGCAGGTCAGGCCTGGCATCCTTCCCAGCCAGGGCGGGTGGTGGCCCCTAGAGCCGTCGGCAGTCAGGCAGTCAGCGTCTGTTTCATGTTGGAGTTTATGAGAAGAGGCCGGCCTTTCTGGGAGGAGGCAGAGGGAAAGTGTGGGGGGTAGAGAAGCCTTTGTTCCGTCAGAAATTCCTCCTCCCTTTGGCCCTGCCCTCCTCTGTAAGCATAAACAGTGTTGGAATAAAGTCCTTCCAGGAAGCGCCTCCTCGCTGCTGAGCCAAGAGCTGCCCGCTGCCTTTCCCTCTGCACCCACTGCCTCTTCACCCCCGCCCTGCCCTCCCTGTCTCCCTTCTGCCCCAAGGAGGGCAGAGCCACCAGGCTGGGCTGAGCGGAGGGACTGGGGGCTTTCTCCTCCTGAGCCCAGGCCTCAGCTTCGTGGTGGGCACATACTTAGGGGTGAGGGGCAGCAAAGGCAAGCCAAGCGGAGCCTTGCGGAAAAGCCCGCCGGGCCTAGTCCTGCTCCTCGCACGCTGGAAGCTCTTTGTCAAGTGCGGCCCCTTCCCCGTACCTCCATTTGACCATCTGTTAGGTGGCTGAGGATATTCCTTGCCCCAGGGGTTATGGGAAGCGTTGAGTGGCAGCCCGACAGACTGTGGAGCCCTGCGCACAGGTGGCGCCTCATAAGCGTCCTGCCCTCTTTGCCCTGCCCTTTGTTCTTCCCAGCAGCACCTGCAGAGCTCCCGTGGCCGTCCTCTATCTTTCTTGGTTTCTCTCTGAAAATTCCAGAAGGTGAAGACACCTAAGGCAGTCCCTTTGTGGCTTGCCACCTCCCCTGCCAACCGGGGAGAGCGGGCCCACTCTATGCTGCGGAGCTTTCCTCCTGTGATTGGCCTGGTCTCAGCCCCAGCCTCTGCCTCACCCCGGATGCAGCTGCTCCCAGCTCCGGCAGAGAATCCTACGGAAGTTGGCTGGTGGTCGGTGAGCACTTGTCCAGGCACCACGCTGACGCCGTCATGTGCGTGAATGCATCCCATCCTTCCAGCAGCCCCGGGAGGCCGGCCCTTACCGCCACGCGAGGCTTCCTGATGAGGAAACCAAGGCTCAGAGAGATTGGGTGGCTTACGGAGGAGCCCCCGATAGTCCAGGCAGAGGCAGAAGGCCATCACCGGCATCTGGCCTTGAGCCCCGTGGTATGAGCCGTGGCCCGTGCAGCGGGGTGTCCGAGTGGGGCCCTCCCAGGGTGCTGAGGACATGTGGTCCCGCAGAAGGCAGGAGCCCCTGTCCCTGGGCCTGCCCCGCCGTTCACACTCCCTGACAGACACCTCCAGAATGGCTGGTTTTCCAATTACACGGCGTGGTGGCACTTCCCGACCCTCCCCCACTCCCTCCGGTCATCGGTCATCAGCCTGCTTCTGTCCTTGGTGCACGCTCGGTGTCATCTGTTCCCCTGTGAGTTTCCTTTCCATTTCTGAAGCGGAGCTTCTTTGGGAACCAAACCGTCAGCCCCGGCCCAGTCCCCACCCTTGACTCTGCTGAGTGCCGCCTGCCCTTTGCACGGGCTGCAGGGCCTGTCCTTTGTGAACCAAGAGGCCTGTGGAACCAGATCGCAGCGTGGGCCTGGCTGGCGATGGCCCCTACGTGTCCCCCCTTCAGTCAAGGAGTCAAGCCCTGCCATGGCGGAGGCACCCCATGCCTACCTGTCATTCCCCTTTTAAACGTAGGTGGCTTTACGCATGGAGACACAGGGGAGAGAGTTTCCAAAGTACTTCTTTCAGGATCGCTGAGGAGGGGAGGCTACAGAAACTAAGGTTGCTGAGAAGGGGTGCGTTCCAGGCCCCAGGTAGGACAGGAGGTGCCAGGAGGGGTCAGAGGGCGCGCTTCACACCCACTAACTTGCAACCAGCAGAGCTCGAATTGCCTTCAGAGGCATGAGACAGCCCCCCCACTGCAATTTGGAGCCTGGACGCTGACCGCACCCCGAGTGCTCCCCTTGGCACAGCCAGCCTCCCCCGCAGACCTGCCAGTGCCGAGAGCCAGCCCTGCCTCAGAGTTCGGACTGAACCTCCTCCCCGCCATATCACGGCTGCCAGGGAGGCCAGTAGGGATCCAAAAGACATTAGGCAGCAGGCCCAAGAGGCCGGGGCAATATTGTTGTCACTTTCTAAATTAGATTTACATGCTCAGCGCATATGTCCCCTTTCGGTGTTTTGCCTTGAAATTCCAGCAGGCCGTCACCAAGTGGTGGTACCGGCCCCTGGGACTAAGAGACACGGTTCGCAAAGGAAGCAGTTACCATTTTATATGCTGCTGTTGCTCTGCGTTAGTAAGTCATGGTAATAACTAACATTGCTCGTTTACTTTCATGTATTGGGCACTGTTCTAAGGGTTTCCCACATGTCAGCTCGGTTAATCCTCAGAACAGCCTTATATGGTAGTCCCCGTCCCTATCCTTGGGAAGTCACTTGCCCAAGATCACGAAGCTAGGATTTGGACCTAGAGTCTGTGCGCTTAACCTTCACGCACTACTTGCTAAATGGGCGATTATCCAGAGAAACATTACTGTGGAAACAGGTCACCCCGGAGCCCAGAGCTTCTTAAACAGGACGTAATGGCTCATGGATGCCCTGGGGCTCGTCAAGATGCAGATTGTGATTCGGTAGCTCTAAGGTGGAGCCCAAGAGTCTGCCTTTCTCGCAAGCTCCCAGGGGATGCCGCTGACGCCCGTCTAGAACCCACACTTGGAATAGTCCGGCGTGGAACCTGCATGTGAGCCTGTCTCGGGCCCAAAGCCTGCAAGCGCCAAGTAGGTGACGTAAATGCAGGGAGCAGCTGGTCAGCATCGAGATGACGCTCCCGAGCCTCAGCTGACGGTCATCGCTAAGATTCTGGACCAAGGTGGTCATATTTCTTTGTGAAATCTTCCGTTTTCAAATACCGGGGTAATGAATCCGATTTTACAAAACACCCTGCAGCTTGCGCAGGCGTGTTCGTAGCAGCGTATTATCCATAACGGCCAAAAATCAGAAACCACCCAAATGCCTGTCGTCTGATGAATGAGAAAATAAAGTATGGCGAATCCCTACAATGGGATATTATTTGGCGACAAAAGGGAATAAAGTACTGATAGGTTCTCCCACCTGGATGGACGTTAAAAGTACTACGCTGAGTGAAAGAAGCCAGGCACAGGAGGACAATTATTGTATGATTTATTTTTTTAAAAAAAGATTTATTTATGATAGACATAGAGAGAGAGGCAGAGACACAGGCAGAGGGAGAAGCAGGCTCCATGCTGGGAGCCTGATGTGGGACTCGATCCCGGGACTCCAGGATCGTGCCCTGGGCCAAAGGCAGGCGCTAAACTGCTGAGCCACCCAGGGATCCCCTGTACGATTTCTCTTAATGGACTGCTTAGAACGGGGAAATCTGCAGTAGGGTGAGAGGGTGGAGGTAGTCTGTCCAGGGACTGTTAACGGATACAGGGTTTCTTTCGGGGGAGGGACAAAATGTTCTAAAATTAGCTTGTAGTGATGGTTGTAAAGCTCTGTGGGTATATTAAAACCCACCGTAAACCTTATCTGGTTGAAATGTTGGGGGTGTGAGAGTCCTTATCTCACTAAACTGCTTAAAACAAAAACAGAAGACACCAAGCAGGAGAGAACTAGTCTCTTTAATAGATAAAGCGCAGTGGCAAATCAACAAGAAAAATAACAAACCCCAGCAGGGAAAAAAGATTGCGGAGGACACACAGCAACACTTAGCAAAGGAAACGCGACTGTTCTCAAATGCATGCGCAATTCTCTGTTGTTTGTAATGAAAGATGTCCAGGTCCAAGGCACTGGGAGAAGATTTTCTCCCTGTCAGACTGGAGACGGTGGAAACTTCCGGAGAGGAGACGGGACAGGAAGTCGATACCCCTGCGGCCGGGTGGCGCGGGGGCGAGTGCCAACTTGTCGTGACCTTTAAAAATTAAAAGTGCGACCTTTAAAAATTAAAAGTGCACGTACCCGTTGGCTCTGCAGTTTTGCTTCTGAGAATTTATCCCACCTGTGTCCGCTCAAATGTGCAAGATGTCACACACACACACACACACACACACACACACACACACACACAATCATTCGTTGTAGGATCGTCTGTAATAGCAGCCGAAGGGTGGAACAACCCAGAGGCTCCGTGGTGGCACCTGGCAAATGCTGTGGGTCTGTGTGTCATGATGTGGGGCAAGATGTACCATCACGTCTCTTATAATAGTAACATGCCTGAGATCGACGGTTGAGTAAAATGGGGAAGGCATAGACCCGAGTGTGTGATGCGCCCCTCCACGAGGGACAGGGATGCGTGTGCACCCGCGTCTTTGTTAGTGCAGAGCCTGCCCCGGCGGGTGTAAAGGACAGGAGCACGGCCTCCAGGCTGGGAGCCAGGGGCCAGGAGACGCCTCTTCGCTGCTGTACAGCGGGTGGCCTACGTGTGGCCGTGCTGCCTCGCCAACTACCCTGGAAGCCACACCACCGTGTGGGCCAAAGTGCACCTGTGTGCAGGTGCGTGCGACCCCTAGCTGCCTTTTTATGACGTGAGGCAGAGAAGTAATTCCTGGCCACCGTCCCGTACTTTGCTCCCTGAAACCTAGAAAAGAGGTGTGCCATCCACCACCTCCCCTCTTCTCTGTCTCCCTGTGTGGGTCTCCCAGGCTCAGGATTCCTGTGCGTGCTCGGGGTGGGGGCCCTGGTGTTCCCTGGGTGGGGATGGATGGCACCTGCACGTGGGATGTGGAGGCCAATGGGAGGACCGGGGGGATCCCGTACGGGCATCGTTTTGGCCTGGTAGACCCCAATGCCCTGTGTTTTGCTTCCTGTTCTCTAGGCACGCCCCAAAGGCGAGGGTCTGACCCCATACCAGGGCAAAAAGCGCTGTTTCGGCGAGTACAAGTGTCCCAAGTGCAAGAGAAAATGGATGAGCGGGAACTCTTGGGCCAACATGGGGCAGGAGTGCATTAAGTGCCACATCAACGTGTACCCTCACAAGCAGGTGAGCTGGGCGGGGGGCTGGAGGGCGGGGGGCGCAGTGGCTGGCAGGGCGCTCCGAAGGGCCTCGGTTTACTCCTGTGTGTGACGAGGATGAGACCAGATCTCTCCAGGTTGGCCCTTTGTTGGTCTCCTCTGAAATGGGAGTGGGAGAGGGAAGGAGGGAGGTTAAAGGCGCGAGGCCAGCAAGTCCCTGAGACCGCAGACCCAGGCGAGTCCTGAAACGAACAACCTGGGCTTCCTGCTGCGGCGTGAGTGGGGATGTGGGGGCAGCAGGGCGCCGCGGAGAATGCGTGTCTTGTTCATTTGCTTGTCCCGTTGGCTCATATACACAAGACAGCCCAAGTGTGCCAGGCAGTGTGCACAGGGCTGGTGGCCATGCTGGAGGATGGCGGGGGTGGATGTGGTAAGGCAGCTCATCCCAGGCTGCAAAGAGGAGGCCCGTTTACTCTGGGACCTGAGGGCTGGGAGGAAACTAGACCTATCACAAGTGGGGGACAGCCAGTAGGTGCAAATGTCCTGTGGCCTTACGGATTTGAGTGCTCAAGGCCCAATCCTCCGGGAAGGATCAGGAGAGCAGAGCAAGAGGAACAGGGTGGGAAGCTGAATGGGGGGCTTACCAGAGCCTTTGGGGCCACTCAAAACCCACAAGCAACAGAGCCTTCAGCTTTATTTTGAGATGATAATTCTGGTGGATGCAGACATTAGTGTTGGTGGGGCTGGTTGATCAAAGGTGAGCAGACCAGTGGGAAAGTCATGGCTGTGGTCCTGTGCATGCTGCAAAGAGGTAGCCTTGGACCTGGGTCGGACACCAGTATCACCGGGTTGGATGTGGCAGGCAAGGAGGTCAGGAATCCAGGAGAACAGTCACACCTGAGCGGATGGAGGTGCGCTTACTGAGGCGGGCAGCCCGGGCTGGGGGCAGGGCCTGGGGAGACCCAGGCGTCCCGGATAAAAGCAAGAGTTCTGATACAAGTGTTATGTTTGAGGCGTGCCTGAAAATGTAAGTCGAGTTGTCCAGAAGGCAGTTGGAGGTGTCACGTTGAAGCTCACCTGAGATGTCAAGGTGGCTCCTACATCCTTGGGGATCATTGACCTAAAGGTATTTAGGGTGAGGATGAGGTTTCCTACAGCACGTAGACAAAGTGAATACAGCATTTCCCCAGACTGAGTGTTGCCAAATCCCAGCACTGAGGGTCAGAGGGAGGAGAGGGATCCATCCGGGAGGACAGCAGGGTGCAGAGTCCTGGAGGTCGGGGGGCGCCGTTCAAGGGGACAGGTGCGGCTGGTGCAGAGGTGTCAGCATCACTGCCATGGAGGAGTGCCCTTGAGATTTCGCAACAGGGAGGTGGCCCTCAAACTTCATGGGGCACCACTGTGGCGTGGAGATCCTGTTGAACTAGAGCTGGGGTCTGAGAGGCAGGAAGCCGATGCCCCCAGGTCAGGCGTGAGGGCTGAGTGCAGGTGTGACTCACAGCAGACCTGTGCCTGGGGCCGTGGCCAAGCAGCCGGGATGGGGGATGAAGGCGTTTGTTGGGCTGGGCAGTAGCGGGAACACCGCCACTGCCCCCTCTCTCGAGGGGACCTGACTGTAGACAGAAGCAGAGGAATGGGGTGGTCGTGGCGGTAGGGCAGGTGGCGTCGAGGCTGGTACTACGCAGATGGGAAGGCCAGGAGCGAGCTAGAGGCAAATGAGAGGGATCCAGAAGGAAGCAAAAGGCTGATGATATAGGGACTGCGGGACGATGCCTTACTGTGGGCTCAGGAGGGAGGGATGTGGCGGGTAGTTAGAGACGTTGGGGGCCCAGGAGGGAGGACGTGGCAGATAGGGAAGCTGGGGACTCTGATGGTGCAGGGAAGAGGGGCTTCCCTTCCAAGGCTCTTCTCAGAGAAATGGGACAGGAGGTTTCCAACTATGAGGAGGGGTGTGGTGGCCCCCGGGGAAGGACGAGGGAGGGAGCCGTCCTCCTAGAGAAATCTAGCAGCATCCCAGGCCCCAGTCTCCTGTCTCAGTATAGAGAACAGGTTTTTTTTTTTTTTTTTTTTTTTAAGATTTTATTTATTCATGAGAGAGAGACAGGCAGAGGGAGAAGCAGGCTCCATGCAGGGAGCCCGACATGGGACTCGATCCCGGGTCTCCAAGATCAGGCCCTGGGCTGAAGGCAGGGGCTAAACCGCTGAGCCACCTGGGCTGCCCGAGAACAGGTTTCTGAAGATCAAGTCCAGGGTGTGGCCCGAGGGTGCAGTGGGAGGGGTCACGCTGATGACATAATGAAGGCACTGAGGAGCCAGAAGCTAAGTCACCAAGAGGGATAGCAGGGGGGCGGAGGAGGCAGGACGGGAAGGGAGGGGGGCTTCGGGGGCTTCGGGGATCTTGGGGAAGGCTCCCCCTGAAGCACTGATGCTGGCTGAGCTCTGATGGGGGTGGTGCGGGGGCTGGGAGGGAGCAGCCCAGGGGGAGGGAACAGCATGTGCAAAGTGGGGAGGACAGGGTCAGGTAGCAGGCCCTGGGGGAGTGGCGGGGTGAGGCAGAGGTTGGAGGCGTGGCCGAGAATTTGGTCTTCATCCCACTCGGGCACACAGGGGAGCCGGCTGATTCTCGTGCGTGAAACATTTGGTGGTTTTGTGCCCCTCGTGCTGGCTGGCCTCGCTGTCTCTGTTCACAGACCCCCCCCCCCCAAGGCTCTCTGTGGTTCCCATCAGCCACACTGTGACACGTGGACAAGTGGCCTCCAAGCTGGCCGTGGAGGTCAGGTGACCGGGGGTCTCCTCAGTGGTGGGCCCGGGTCCACATCCTAATGGCATCGAGGCCCGATGGGTGGGCCTGGTGTTTTAGGAGCACATCTGGGGTCCGGGGTAGGCAGTTTAAGGGACACATGGTGTCCTGGGTCCTGATTCCCTGGCAATTCCTGAGGAGGTCTGAGACCCCACAGTCCAAAAACACGTGTCCCACCATGTCTGAGTAGGAGCACAGCCCCTTCGGGGTTGCAGTCTGCTGGGCACGGCACGGGCAGGGCCGCTCAGAGGGGCCGTTCCTTCTCCCACCGGACACGCTTCGTGGAGAGCTTCTCCAGAGCCAGCTGCGTGTCGGTGCTGGAGGAGGACCAGGCTCCAGGGCTGCCGGGCCTTTCAGGGTCTTCTCCAACTGCAGACACAGGGTTCGGTCAGGGTTAGCAGCTGGCATTTAGGGGAACTCCTGCGGGCTGCCGTTTGCTGAGCCCCGACACACCCCACATGTGTACTCTGTCCCCAGACTGGGTGTGCTGTTCATCCCCGTCCCACGGGGAGAAAGAGCGGGGCCTTGGGAAGCCACGCGGAGTTGAACTTGCACCTGTGTTTGGAGACAGTCCGTTGGAGTATGGGGAGCCCAGGCAGGCGTCCGTACACATCCCCGCTCGGCCATATCGGCCACGGGTGTCCCAGAGCTCCCCCCGCCCCGGGGAGGAAGAGGAGGCAAGGCCGCAGGTGGATCCCCATGGTGATGGGAGAGGGCAAGATTGGAAAAATTATGCCAGTACTTAATACCTGTCATCCTCTCAGCTACCCTATAGGGTCAGCTCTGTTGTCTTCCCATTGTACAGAGGGGGAAACTGAGGCAAGCAGCATAAGGAACTTCTCCAAAGTCAGTAGAGAAGCTTGGATTCATGAGGAAGGATCAAGTTTGGGGCCAAAGGGGGAGGGAGACAGGGAGGCCAGGTCACGTGGGGGATGGGGGAGGGGAGTTGGTAAGGCCCCCTTTCCTGCGGAGGCTCAGATGTACGGGGGGCTTGGCTGTGTGCTGGGGGCTGCACGGCTCGGGCCTTCTCCATGCTCACAGCCTCTGCAACCCAGGCAGAGAGGCAGGGCCCAGCCCACAGGCCTGAGGCCAGGACACCTGCCCCCTCGCAGGGGCTCCGGCCTCCTGGACGCCTGCCCCTATTCCGCGCTCGCGTCCGGCTCCCACGAGGAGGCCCACGCTGGGCTCGTACCACCGCCCCCAGGCAGGCAGTGGTCTCACCGGCCTTGTCAGCTGCGTCCTGCAAAAGTCGATCTGAACACCGCCTCCCTGGCCCCCTGTGCCCCACACGCGCAATCCGATGGTCGGGCTCAGCCCCTGGGTGGGTTCCCAGTCCCGGAGGAGCTTCCAAGAACACATGGCTCTGCTCTTCCTGTCTCCCGGTCCGCCCTACTGCGCGCAGCTGGAATACTACGGCCCAGAGAGAGGAAGGGCTTGAGCAGGACCCCTCAGCCCGGCAGTGGTAAGGGGGCCATAGTTTCCCACCACCCCGCACCCCCATCTCCTCTCCTGGACTCCACGTGCTTCTCACCTGGGTCTTCTCCCTCAGGGAGATTATAGGTGAGGTGGGAACGGGGCACCCCCACCCTACTCCCTGGCAATCAGGGGCCTTTGAAGAACTGAGAGGAGGACTTGGAGTCTCTGTCCCCAGCGCCCTGTGGCGGAGAGGGGCCGCTTTATTTCTCCCACCCCACCCCCCAAGCTCTGACCTGTGTAGCATCCATCCCCCGAGAGCCCTCCACTCCCCCCTGCTCCCTCCCCCGCCACATCTGTTTCCCGTCAGGCTCCAGCTGCAGCTCCCCTGCTCCCCAGGAGAAGAAAACACCAAAAGGCTCTGCCTCCCTGCTGGGGGTGGGGACGGCCCAGGCTGATCCATCCCAGCAGCTGGATATTTTCCCTCCTTGGAGGGTCAGCGGATCCCGGACCCACCCACAGTGGGCAGGGGCCTGGATAGGGCCATGGCCAAGGAGGAGGGACGGTGTAGCTGGCTCCCTGGCCCCCAGCCTGCCCCCGGTCCCCCATCATGCTAACAGTAGCAGCAACAGTGTGGGATCAATACTGGCCGACCTCTGCCCGGGTAACTTGGCATGTGTTATCGGATTTATCCTTCATAACCACTTTTCATAGAAGAGAAATGAGGCACAGAGAGGTTAAATAACTTCTAGAGGCCGCACAGCCTTGCAGAGCTCTTTATGGCTATAAAGGGCTGTAACAAGTCCTGGCATTTACTTCCCTCTCCATCATGCACATGCTGCACGTTAGGAAGCTCCTGCCCAGGTTACGGAATTGAGGTTCCAGAGGGGAAAGCTCTTACGGCTGGTCTCCCTGCCCAGGGGCTGCGGGTGGCCATCCTGGGTATCTGGGAGAGCAGGTCGGGGGCCTCCCTAGGCCTTCCAGCTTGGAATCGAGGCTGCACCTTTCAGTGCCCGTTTCCCTGCTGGTGACCCTCGCCCACGAGTGACCATGATGAGCAACACGAATAGCTTTTATCTGCTCTGCCCTGCTCTTTCTCTTCTCCCAGTTGTAGTCACGACCCCGTGAGAAAAGTGTTGTCAGACGTCCCCTTTTGCAGATGGGGGGATGGAGGATGGGAGGGACCAGGTGGCTTGCCCGAGGTCGCATGGCTTGGAGGCCGTTCAAGCCCACATCCCACACAAACCTGAACTCTTTCTCCTCTCCCCTGGCCAGGAAAGCCGGTCATCTCAAAGCCTCTTGGGACAAGGCCGAGGCTCCTGTCCTTTCTGCACGCCGTCTCTCTGTGGCTTTAGGGAGTACAGAGATGGGTTTTATGACCCTTGGAGCTGCCCCTCCCTGGTCTCTGTGCTCACCTCCAGGAGCTCTGTGGCTCTTCCATTTCCCCACCTGCCCTGAGTGTCAGCTGCAGGCCAGGTAGTGCATGATGGGTCAGAAAAGCCAGTGCGCTACTTTTGAGAAGTCTGCCGTGTGCCCAGGGCTCCCTCCAGGACCATCTGTGGTAGGTCACTGACCCCTGGGGCTCCCTGGCCCCACAGCAGCCTGCGGTTCCTGCCTCCCCCTTCCCCAACCTTCAGCATGTGGGTCCCAGCTGTCCCCGACTGGCTTCCTTTGAGTCCCCCCAGATCCATGCAGGGGACCCTTCTGCAGGTGGGCGTTCTGAGCCGGGGCTTCGGCTGCCAGCCAAGAAACCATGTGCTTCAGGAGGTGTGCCTAATAGCCTCCATAAATTTTCCAGAGCAACAAGTCTTTGCTGGCTTTTGAGAGCCAGGATGGGAGGGAGAGTGGGAGCAGGAAGCTCCTGTGTCCCAGAAGTGTTCTCGTGCACGCCTAACACTGCCTGGTTCACAAACATCTAGTCATCTGATTCCTCCCACTGCCCCGCAAATGAGGTGTCATGATGGCCCACTATACAGGTGTGGAAACTGAGGCCCCCTGAGGTCACTTAGGGAGTGAGTGGCATCACAGGTCAGGCAAGTCACCTCCCTTCTCTGGGCCTCTGTTTCCCTGTTAGGAAACCGTGAGGTTCCGCTCATGTGGTCACTCGGTGGGCAGGGCAAGCCCTGGGACAAGGGGCACTGGCTGCTGACCTCACAGAGCCGAGGCTCGTTTACCCCAAGCCCGAAGCCTGGGAATGACAATAGGGAAGAGGCGCTGGGTGAGCCACAGGTCGGGAGATGGGGGCTTGCGTCTTCCCTGCTCTGGGCCTTGGTCGCCTCGCCTGGGTGCTGTCCGGGCACCCCCGGCCTGCCTCTGTTCTGGGCTTTTGTGAGCTGCTGGGGTGGCTGCTCTGAGAGTCCTGGGGGAAGGAGGGCAAAGTGGCGCGAAGACGGCTGGTGTCCGGGAGCCCCTCCCCCGGCCCAGCCCTGGGCCCCCCAGCTGTGCACCTGCCACAGGCCAGAGGTGGGAAGGGCCCGGGCCCCTAGGGAGACCACCTCTGTGACTCCGGGCTCTGTCTCCGCGACCCCCACCCCGTCTGTCTGGTGCTCTCTCTGTGCCTCGCTCTGCATCTGGCTTACTGTCCCCGCTTCTCTCTGTGTTTCTACCTTTCTCCCCACCACCCCCTTCCTCTCTGCAGAGACCCCTGGAGAAGCCCGACGGCCTGGATGTGTCCGACCAGAGCAAGGAGCATCCCCAGCACCTTTGTGAGAAGTGCAAGGTGCTGGGTTACTACTGCCGCCGGGTGCAGTGAGCCGCCCGCCCGCCCGCCCACCCACTGGAGGAGACGCCCCTCCCCGTGTCTCTCCAAGGTGCCAAGTGTCCTCGTGCGCGTGGGGGCAGCCTCGCAGCCTTACGTGCCCGGGCAGGGCTGTCTTAGGTTCTTGTCTCGTGTGTGTCGACAAACAGTGTTACGGACGTGGCTGCCCCCCGCAGAAAGCCAGGTCTCTGGGACTCTCTGCAGGTGGGCCTGAGGTTGGGGGTGGAGGGGACAAGGTGAGCAGAGGGCAGCACACAGGACCCTGTAAAGTCCTTGGTGTCCCCTGCCACCGTCTTCCTCTGAGACTCCCTTTGGGGTGAGCAGCCTTGTGTTGGCCACAAGTGCACTAAATGTACTGTGAATCCCAAAGCCTGCAGGGGACTGTCGCCCCAAGACGAGTCAGGCCTCCTTCTCTGCCCGGAACCTTCCTGTTTGCCCTGTGCACAAAGCCACTCTCAGAGTGCCCTAGGTTTCTGTCCTGTTTGAGTCAGCAGTCCTGGCGGGTTGACACCTGTTCTAGCAGCTGCTGGGGAGCAGGATCTCTGCCCCCTGCCCGCCGTGAGCCCCAGACCCCACTGCCTGTGCCATCGTTAGCTTCGCCGACCCTAGACCCAGAGGGCAGGGACTGGGAGGCGCTGAATGTCAGACAGCGTTCCACGGTGGGACCCGGGGCCCATCAGACGACACCCTTCGCCCCCCGACCCCCCCACGCACACACCTTTCCCTCTCGGGATTGGATTTTGTGCTCGGATTTCATCAGGCCCATTCCCTGTCTTTCTCCTTCACCTCCGCCCACACTGGGGTCCCCCCACCCCGACTAAGGCCGTGGGGCTGGGCGAGGAAGGCACTCTGGCAGGACAGACATGGGCCCCGTGGGCCAGAGACCTAGGTTCCGGTGCTGGCCTGGCTGCTGTACGCTTCGAAGCCTCCAGAAGGCCGTCCCACCTCCGGGCCTCAGCGTGGCCACTGGCTAAGTGGGAGCAGCTCTGGAGGGTGCAGGCCCACTTCAGCCCCCATGTTGTGGGATTCCCGTGGCGCCCTGTTTGGACAGGCCACACTGCACACCGTCATCCCGTCGGTCACTGAGGACAGAGCCAAGGGGTGCTGGTCCTCCCCAGTCACTGCCTGTAACCCCGCCCTGCCCGGTGCCACCCACCCCTGCAAAAATGAGGGATCCCCCCCTCACATAGGGCAACCCCGACGTAAGCTACACCACCTCTTGTTTCTAAAATGGGGACAACGATTTCCTACCTCCCAAGGGAGCGGGGAGACCCTGCACAAGTCACGTGGGTCCGGGAGACCCTGTCCCAGCCCCGAGGATCACGCTCGCCTCTCTCCTCTCTCCCCCGCCAGCAGCCCTAGGTTTATTGTCCCATGGTCCTTCCTTCCTCCTGGGGAGAGGGAGAGAGCCGGCTGTCGGGACTGGGTCACTTGATTCTGCCCCAACCTCATGCCTCTGTGGGGGGGGGGGAGTTAGACCATGAAATGGACCTGAATTCAGTGTTTACCACGGCTCAAGGTCACCCAGCTGGGGCCGTCGCCTTTTGTTTTCAAATGAAAATGCTGTGTCGGACTGAGGAGTTACCGTGAAGTGTTAACCTGGTCCCGGAGCAAGTTGAAGAGATGGAGGGAGTGCGTTTGCAGGGGGCGGGGGGGGGGGCGGGGGGCGGTGCAGGGGAGACTTCAGGGGGCCCTGCCCTCTGAGCACTAGACAAGGAGCCCGAGCCCCACGGCCGCCTCCGCGCAGCCCACGGGAGCAGAATGCCCATGCCCAGCAACCGGCTCCCCCCCGGGAGTGCCCCCGAGGAATCCCTCCCAGCTGTCCCCTGCCCCCCCTCTGTCCTGGCCCCGGGCTCTCTGTCCCCGGGAAGCTGTCACTGTCCGTCATCCTAGCGCGGCTAACAGTGGTGCCTGCGGGGGTGGGGTGGGGGTGGGGGGTGGGCAGTGTGCTGGTCTCTGCCCTGAGGACCAGGACCCAGAAGCTGGGGGCAGGGGGTGGGGTGGGGATGGGGGGGGAACACCTTGGCCCCAGGGGGCCCAGAGCCTGCCAACTGTACTGCAGGAGCGGGAGCAGCCCAGACCCTACAAAGAACCCAGGCTCCAACCTGCTGGAGGCGAGCGGCCTTCCGCCGGCCAGTGGGAAATGGGATAGCACCCCAAGGTCTGTCCAGCCGGTGGCCTCGGCCGTGGGCGCCGTGGGGGCCGGGCCCTCCTGCCCTGGGGACCGCCCCGTGCACCCCACTCCCGTGGGCTCGGGCTGGATCGCGGGGAGCTGTCCGTGGGCAGCAGGAGGCCCTGCCGCCAGGCCGGGGACCGTGGTGATGCGGTGCTCAGGGGCCCCGAGAGCCCAGGAGACAAGAAGGCATGTGGCTTGTGTTCAAAAGGGACAATCGCCTGCAGTTAGTGGATCTAGCGATCTAGTTGAGAGATAACAGTGTTTAACCCATAAGAAGTATTCGATAGTTCTACTTGTGAATTTGTATTTATTTTGAGTTATACTTGACACAGAATTCCTTTTTCTTTTTTTTTTAAAAGAAAAATACTATGTGTGTATTTTGAAGAAAAAAAAATCATAGATGTTAAAATTTCTTCTGGTTACCAATTTTTCTCACAACACTGAATTTGTTACCTTCTCCCGAAAAAAATCTTCACAGTGATTTTTGTCTGTATATATTTGAGGGCCTTTTTTTCTTAAAAAAGAAAAGAAAAGAAAAAGAAAAATATAATTGCTTGATTTTTGAGGCTAAAACACAAAAAGAGAGGCATTTTCAAAACTTGGGAGCTTTCAGGAGGGCAATAGAATATCAAATGAAGATTTCTGGAAGTATTTTGCAAACCTTCTGGTCAAGCTGCAAGAATATATTTATGGTGAGAACTTTTCTCTTTTCTCCTGTTGTTGGTTTCTTTTGTTTGTTTCGTTTTTGTTTTTGTTTTGATTTTTTTTTTTACTATGCTTTGATCTGTAAAAAGTATGCAACGGAACTACATTAAGAAGGAAATATTGTCTACATAGAATATTATATGAAGTTGGTACATAATTCTGATGAGGAAAAAAAATCTTTGCGATTCTTTAAGCCATATTGTTGTTATTCTGTGTTGTTTTCCTTGGATGAAAATATCAGTATTAAGTAGCCAAGCATATTATTCAAGTGCTTAGACTTATTAATATGTCCGTGTCCTGTATTTATACGTATGTGTATTTTGGAAAGTATTGCTTTTTTTTTTTTTAAGGGAAGCTATTATTAGATACATAGCAGAAGAAGGGAATAGTGATCCCTTTGAGCCTCTTCAGCTGAGGGTAACAAACACAGCATTGTAATCCATTCTCTTGCACCTTCTTATTATTATCTTGTTATTATGGTTATTAACTTTGCGTGGGGTGGGCAGGGAGTGGGCCGGCCGAAGAAGGGGCACAGCAGTGTTACACAGCCAGCGTGTGAGGACGGTCCGGCCCCTGCCTGGTTGGCCAGCTCCGAAGGTGACCTCCTTGGCCTGGTGGAGGGCCCCGGTCAGCAGAGCCCGGGAGGGAAGAGGAAGCGGGAGGCAGAGTTCTCCACGTCCCTCTTTGGAGCTTTGCCATCTGAGCCACGCCTCTGGGCCCCAGGCTGTTTGAACTTGGATTCGTCAACCAGAGCCCTTACACCTGCCCTCCAACATCTACTAGACTTGAATCTACTCTAAATGAATATTTAATCCAACATCACTACATGGTAGCCCAGTGCAACAAGTAATCCTGGAGAGTGGGAGGCCTTCCGGCCTTCGGGGAGGTGGCTGAGCCGTCGCCCAAGGGCTGGCAGCAGGAGGGCTCGTCGCCATCTGTCACCAGCCTCGCCGTTGGACCTCCTCCACTCCCACGTGGCGCCCCTGTCCGTGTCTGTATCTGTTCATATGTGTGTGTCCAGCTAAAAAGACAAACGAGAACCCGTGGGCCCGGCTTGGAGGGTGCATGGAGAGAGAAGGCTCCCGCCCCTCCGAAGGGCTGCCCTCGGGATGGCATTCCGTTGTGTGCCTTATTCCTGGAAAACCTGTATACAGCTTGCCTATAGCAATATAGCCTTTTCATGCTGTATTAAAAGAACTTCTAAAAGCAAGAGAGGCTCGTGGGTTTCCTTGTTTGCACAGAGCATCAGTGGGGGGAGCTGGGAGTTTTCGCAGACGCGCGAGGCCAGGCAGGGTGGGAAGGACCCCTCGAGCTGCCTATCTCCTGCCCCGAGGCTGGATCATCTTGTCCTTGCTGTGCTGCCTCCATGCCATCGATGTGCCTCCTCCCGGCCCCTCTGCCCCCAAGTGGACACTCTCCAGAGTCAGGGCCCTCCCCAACGTGGGCCCCAGACTGGGCAAGATTGTCGGCACATTAGGTCACATGTTAGCTCAGCAGTGGGACTCCCGGGTGACCATATATAGGAGTGAATCTTCCTTGGAGGCAGCAGGCCTGGGCCCCACCGCCGTGGCCACACTTGGCCCTCTTGCCAAGACCAGGATTTGGGCCCCAGACACTGGGCATCACACAATGAGCAATCTGAAGCATCCAGGCCTCCTGGGAAGTCCCCAGAAGGCAGAACAGAGGGTCTCTCTTCTGAACAAGCCAGGGGTGAGGCCGGGCTGTCACGACATGGGGTTCTTGCTGACAGCCACGGACAGGAAGCCATGGCTCTTAAGAAGCCACCTACACACGGGCCGAGGGGGGCCGTGGGGGGGTGGCTTCAGCCCAGGGCCAGCGCTCTGGTCATTCTCAACCTTGCTGTTCACCAGAATCCCTGTGGGAGCTGTGGCCCCACCCCGGAGATGCGCGAGAAATTGGCCTGCATCCCCAGGTTTTTAAAGCACCCAGTCTAGGGATCCCTGGGTGGCGCAGTGGTTTGGCGCCTGCCTTTGGCCCAGGGCGCGATCCTGGAGACCCAGGATCGGATCCCGCGTCGGGCTCCCGGTGCATGGAGCCTGCTTCTGTCTCTGCCTGTGTCTCTGCCTCTCTCTCTCTCATTCTGTGTGACTATCATAAATAAATAAAAAAATTAAAAAAAAATAAAGCACCCAGTCTAATGTACAAGGTTGAGAAATGCCAGGCTTTGAAATGGTCCCTCATGGTCCCGTGGGGCCAGTGGTGATGTCAGGAGGGAGGCCGGTGGGCAGGGGCTCCAGCAAAAAGTGTGGGTCCTTAGGATCAGGGATCGCTGTTGGGGAGGGCGGGGTGGGGAACTGGCAGGAACAGAGATTCCCTGACTTCAGAAGCAGGGAACGGCTCCCCCTGTGTTATCTGGAGTGGACAGTGGATCCCCGAAGCCCCCAAGCTCTTTCCTGCCTGTTGGCGCATTCAGCCCCGGATGCCCCACTCAGGGTAAGTGAGGTGGCCTGGGAGGGCCAGAGTCAGCCTGAAGTGGCAGGTGGGTGTCCATGCAGCCGGGCAGGTGGGCGGAGAGGGGACACAGCCCCACGACCGTCGGAGGAGAGGATTCTCGCCTAGGGGTGCCTGTTTGGCAGCACCCTCCCAGGGCTGTACACAACCGAGGACCAGAGCCGTGCCCGTGTGCCCACGGCCCCCCACCCCTGCCTCTCCTGGCTGCCTGAGGCTGAGCAGCGCCCCCCCCGAGCCCCGGCTTCCCCAGGGATGGTGCAAGGGAGGAGGCCCCATAAGCCCAAGGCCCGGTGTGCACCTTGGCACCCGGGGGCCCCGGGCCTGTGGAGCTCCTGCTCCCACTGTCTGTGACTCGGGCGGAAGGCGCCCCCCACCCAGGACCCCCGAGGTCCCTTGGCCCCCACGGCAGGCGTCCCGGAGCCCTGCCGGGCGCTGGGGCTGGCGCCTCCCAAGGAACCCGGGCTATCTGCCCCCGTGGGTCAGCGGGCGGGCGCCCATGGGTTTGTTGTGTTTTGTTTTCCGTGGAAGGAAAACAAACCCAAGGCAAACACAGCCTGCGTTTCGACATCTCCCGGGGCTGTGGAAACCCCTAATTCCCCTGGACAGGAAGGGCTTCCGGTGAGGCTGACCGGCCCGTCCAGGGGCAGCTGGTGCAAGGCCCGGGAGCGCGCGGCCACCTCGGAGGGCTGTCGGGGGCCAGAGGGGTGGCCCAGCGCCAGGCGGGGACCCACTGCCACTCACACCCCCACCATTTCTGTCCGGGCCACGCTGAGGCCCCAGAGAGGGAGGCTCTGCCCGAGGTCACCCACGGCCCGGTGGCAGTGGCAGGCTTTGAATCCTGAGTTCTTGGTCCCGGTGCAGGGCTGCGGGGCTGAGCCCAAGGCAGCACCTGCACCCCGGCCTTGGGCCTCCTCCGTGCCTGCTCCAGACCCAGGGGAGGGAGGCCGGGAGGGTGCCCCACCGCCGCGCCTTCCCATCCCAGCACCTCACCCGCCGGGAGCCCGAGGACGGCCTCGTGCGACCCGTCCAGGCCCCAGCACCGCTGTCTTCCCACAGCGTGTGACCCGGGGGCGCCCGGGGGGCTCAGCGGTTGAGGTCTGCCTTCCGCCCAGGGCGTGACCCCAGGGCCCCGGGATCGAGTCCCGCATCAGGCTCCCCGCACCGAGCCTGCTTCTGCCTCTGCCCGTGTCTCTGCCTCTCTCTCTCTCTCTGTGTGTGTCTTATGAATAAAAAAAAAAAAAAAAAGAATGGGTGCCATGGGGTGTCAGCATCATCGTCTGCACGCGGGGGGCAATCGAGCCGCACTTGCAGGGGCCGGGCCACACGGGTGTCCCCAGCAGTCCTGGCAGGAGCCGCGCGGGGGCAGGGTGCACGTGGCAGGTAGAGGAATGGCAGCCCAGGCAGGGATGATGCCCCAAACTGGCAGCAGGGTCCCCTGCGCCCTCCTAGCCCGCGCTCTGTACTGCTTCTGGTCCTGACCAGAGGCCCCAGGAGACTCCCTCGGGCCGGTCTGCTCCCTGAGGGCCGCCGAGCCCCACCATCGGCTGGGGATC